CGTGTCCAGCGAGGAGCCAGTGAAGAGCCGACAGCCGGGGACTGGCAGTGCCCTGGGTGCCAGCAACGATCCCAGTTCCAGCGCCTTGTGGACCTGCTCCTCTGCAGCAGAGCCGGGCACCATTTCGGAGCTGTCTACACCGTCCCCCATGGTGGATCAGCTAGAAAACCCCAGCGTGGGGAGAACCTCAGGGTTACCGTCATCTCAGGCCAGGGACGGAGATGGACATGGAGTGTTGGCCTCCCACAGCCCATCCTCCTTCAGTGGGCGCAGCGGTGGTGCGGCCCAGAGCTCCTCTGGGGACGGCAGTGACCCAGCACGCCGACCAGCCAAGGGTGCTGGAGCTGGTGGCACCACAGTGTCACCCTCTGAAGGTGGCCACAGGCTCGCTGCTGAGGGCTGGGCTCAGAGATGGAGCTCGGCGACAGCTGGAGGAATGGTCAGTGTCTGCGTGTACCCTCGCCCCCTTTTTTGGAGCAGGATAGGGGGACCTGGGTCAGTGAACCCTATATCCTGGTGGCTCCTGGGGACAGTCATCTTGGTGAGGTGTCACCTGGTTCTGAGTGTGGGCAGGATGACTCTGGTGCAGAAAGCTCCCAAAGCCTTTTCCCTTCCGAGCATCTCTGCTGGGACGACATCCCCCGGGGACTGACCCGTCCTGTCCTCTGCTCTGGGCATGGGTGGCCAGAGAGTGGCTGTCACCAGAGCTGGTTGGTGTGGCTGGCGCTTGCACAGGCTCTGGGTGCTGTTGCATTTGTCGTGGGCAGCGCTCTGGCTGTCGCTGGTGATGAACATGCCCTCAGGCACAAGTTTGGGGTGTCCCCTTCCAGCTGCTGTGCTCAGCTCCAGGGTGGGTGGCAATGGTTGAACGTGGAGGTGTGGGGGCTCTGCCTGCTCCGAGGGGGCTCTGAGAGGAAGAGCAGTGGATGATGATGTGTTTGGTTTTGGAGTTGTTGCTGTTTGGAGGTCGCTTTTTGAGGGTGACAGGGTGGGCTGAAGGCACCTTTGGGTTTGGCCAAGCTCTGTGCACCCTGGGATGAGCGCATGGTTGGAGGGGCAGGAAAGGGGCTGTAGCCTCCCCATACCTTTGCTGGGTTGGGACTGGTGTCACAGCCACCACCTGGCCTTCAGTGTCCTGCCACCGGTTGCTTGATGCGTGAGGTTGATGTTGGAAGGGTTTGGAAGGGGCTGGTCCTGGATTCCACAAGTTTCCACTCTCTTCTCGCTGGTACCTCCCTAAATCTTTGTCCTGACACAAACATGTGAAGAAAGGAGGGTGGAGCTGGTGCCGCATCCTGCACCTCCGTCAGCACAGCTCTAGGAGGGTTCTCCTGCAAGGACACCCTCAGGGAGAGGTCCAGTGGTCAGAGAACCCCGATGCCATATGAATGATTAAAAATAAAGGAGTTATCTGAGCTGGGTGCTGCGAGGAGCTCCCCAATGGGCAACAGTGCAGGGAGTCCAGGTGGGTGCTGCCGATGGGTGGGTTTGCAGAAGGATTCATCCCATTCTTAATTGAGAGCTGCCAGGTGATCAATAAGAGGGTGCTGAGCAGGTGGAGGTTTGTGAGTCCCTCCTTGCAGGCGTGGAGGGTCCCATCCTGCTGCTCACCCAGTATATTGCCCCATCCTGACTCTACCGTTGGGTGCTGGGTCCTGGCATCCCTGAGGAAACCTGTCCCCGGGGCTGGAGGAGTTAAAGGCAGCGCCGGTGGTGTGGCAGCGGCTGACAAAGAGCAGTTTTATTTGTGATGAGCGTATCAGGCTCGGGAGAGGGAGGGGAGCTGCAGCATACCAATTACACCCGCCCGC